ACTCAGTTGAGCATGGTGCAAATGTGAATGCTCGAAACGATTGGAATGAAAGTGCTCTTCACGTTGCTGTTCAAGCTCATTCCCTGGAAATCGTTAAATATTTAGTCGAACATGATGCTGATGTAAATTGTAAAAATTTACTGAACGAGTCTGCTCTTCATTATGCTGCGATCATTGGTTCATTGGAAATTGTTGAGTATTTAGTAGGGCACGGTGCTGAGGTAAGAAGTGGGGATCATTGTGGCGAAAACACGGTTCTGTTTCTGGCTTGTAAACAGGGAAATGGCTTAATTGTAGACTATCTTCTCCAACATGGAGCTGTACACGACATACATAAGTGCGATGTTAGATTGCGTTCTCCTTTAAGAATAGCATGCGAGAAAGGTGACACATGCGTAGCTGAAATATTACTGAAGTTCAACGTCGACTTACGAAAAGAGCAAAAATTGTTTTATGACAATGATGAGATCATGGATATTCTTGAGCTTGAGTTAGAGTCCATTAAGCGTCGGGAGCATGCGAAAATTTCTAAAGAAACAGATGATGCACAGGTAATAGTTGATTCCCATTTCGAAATTGTGTTATAGTAATATATATACACCGGCTGCTTGTGTAAAAGGTTGATATCGCTATCCACCTGCTAGTGATTTTTCAAGTTTCTAAAATTGACTGTTTATTAATATAACCAAGATTAAACTTTAGTATTTATAAATTAAATTATATTTTATTTGTTTATTGATTGTTAGTTCGATATCCGTAGTTTGATTAAGAAGGAGCAAGTACAATACAAAATTTTGATGCTGAAGTTGAGAAAAAAGTTTACAAAGCTGCAAATAAAAAACACAAGTGATATACATGCTAATTTACTAATGTTTTCCAGCATCTAGGCTGCTGGATTTGCCATGTTTTATCTTTAGCTTTATCGCCACCAGTGAACTTTCTGAGACTGCCAAGAACTTTATATCCACCATACCCCGGAAACCTATACGTCATGTACTTCTTGCCAAAAATTCACAAACCTGACAACCCAGGTAGACCCGTTGTCTATGTTTCTGGTTGTCCAACTGAACTTCATCTTGTTGATCGTGTCGTGGCATCCTTGGTAAAGGAATTACCATCCTATATCAAGGATACCACATCTACTCTCCAAATATTTCAGAATATTCATTTTCACGGCACTCACAAATTCATCTTCACCTTGGTCGTCAAACCTTTATACACTGTAACTCCGCATAATGACAGTTTAAAGGCCATCAAATTGTTCTAGATAACGCCCTAACCAAGAACCGTCTACTGCTGTTTTAGTCCGATTGGTCCCCAACAACTTCCCCTTTGATGGTGAGCATTATCAACAGATAAGTGGTCTAGCTATGGCAACCAAAATGGGTCCCAAGTATGCTACTTTGCTTGTTGGTTTTGTGAAAAAACTGATCTTCGAACAATACACTAATCCCATGACTGACTACCTTGATAGGTCACTACCTGTCTTGGCACAACATCATGTTCTCGTGTTGAATTGGAAAGATTTATTAATTTTGTTAACAATTTTCATCCAGCATTCCAGTTCACATGGAAGATCAGTGAGACCACTGTATCATTCTTAGATATCGCTGTGTCAATCAATGGCAATAAACTAGTCACTTCTGTGTCTACAAGCCTACTATACTGACTCTCATAGCTATCTTCTATTTTCCTCTTTCCACCTTTTCCGCAGCAAAAGGTCGATTATAATCTCTCATTTCCTTTGCCTTCCCCGCCTTTGCAGAGACGAGGAGGACCTCCAAGCCAAAAGTCTGGAAATAAGACACTTTTTGTTCGAACGTGGCTATCGCATCTCTCTATTAAACACTGCCTCTTGGAAGGCCTCCCAAATCCCCGATCTGAGACCCGTACATACCCTGTGCCCAATGTCACAGGTAACAACAAAATTCCCCTAGTATTAGCTTATCATCCTGTCAATTTCACAATCCTTTCATTGCCACCATTTCGGCACCTAAATCTCAATACCATGTCAAGCAGGATTTCACGTGCACTTTCTCCCATCTCATCTGCTGCATCTCATGCAGTAGATGTGGCGCCAATGCTGTATATTGGAGAAACTGGAAGACATTTGAGGACAAGGTTTGGTGAGCATCGGCGTGCTATCGTTGGCAATGATGCTAAGAAGCCTGTTGTCAGATATTTTAATACTAGGAATGACAGTATTTCAAATATGGAAATATAAACCCTTTTTCCCATTTCTAAAAGCAACGATAATCGCAAAAGACATGAAATGCCCTCCACTTCCAAACTTGGCACTGTCCACCCCGAAATATTTCGTTTTAAAATTTTTCTTTGTCTATGATAGCAAGGACCGCAAGTAAAAGTACCGATCAACGTTATTTATTTATTTATTTATTTATTTAATTATGATTATATTTACCCAGGATACCCATACAAACGTTCTAATTTAAAGTTATTTGTGTCCAGTACATTCCAACAGCTAGTGGCGCAAGTAGTCATAGCAACATCAAACGTCAAGGAGACAAACAGCGCCGTATACGTAACGGGTCTCCAGGGGGAAAAACAAATTTTCATTTCCACAACTGATGAACTCAAGCCCAACTAAGCTTGTGAAAATGCCCTGAAAGGTTCCGCACCACCACTTTGCTGTCCACGTAGATTTTCGGTTTCAGACATGATTAAGTTTGGAAAACTGAACGACCATGCTGAAAATAGTGTGCCTCAGAATACTCCCGTTGTTAACATATGCAGATTTAATATGGAAATGCTGTCATGGTCCAAGCTTCCCACTACAGTCGAATTTGCAGAAGAAAAGAAGCAGGGCGGATCTAGGATTTTTCGTATCTCAGTCAAAACGGGGCGTTGTCGGCGCTGGGCCTCATCTGTGGCCCAGGTCACAGATGAGGTAATACAGATGTGAATCTCCTGTGAAAATGTGTCACACGGATTAAATAAACTTTAAAATTGTATTAATTCACTATTTTATTAATTTTTGATAATGCAGAGGAATAAAACTATACATATTATAGAAGTATTCATGTTTTTTTTATGCGAGAGTTATGTTTTGAGGCATTTATATCATTCGCTGTTTTGTTATTTATACACGAGCATCTGAAATTCCCAGCAAGTGTATTTCACGATTTTAATAAGAAGTAGATAGGGGAAAAAACAAACTTTTGCTAAATAAAATGTTATATTAACACTTTTAATAAAAAGAAATCAATAAAAGTGATCGCTTACCGTTACACTTGAAGAATTAATTCCAAAAATAGCCGAATAGCGTAGACTTTTAAAAAAACAATTTTTCGTCTTTCGAACGGCGTTTTCCTATCTCTTTCCTTATTAAATTTCAGAACGACACTTGCCAGCGCTCGCCGGAAGTGAGAATTCCGTTTATAAAATAACATGTACATAACGCGTGTTCTGATTGGTCGAAACCCGTGTTTGGATCAGGCCATCCAAACACGGAAGACTATCGTGTTGTTGTTATTTTATAAAACAATTACTTTATGGTTTCCGTGTTTGGATGGCCTGATCCAAACACTTTGGAATGTTGCTCGAGTTAAGAAAAGCGGGCAAAATCACTCGCCTTCGGCTCGTGCTTTCGCTCGCTTTTCTTAACTCTCGCAACATTCCCGCGTGTTTGGATCAGGCCATCCAAACACGGAAACCATAAAGTAATTGTATAGTGACACAAAACAATCAGCAATTTCACAGGAGATTCACATCTGTACCACAGAATAGGAAGTTATACCAGAAGCGTAACTCGAGCAAATATTTGTCCGCGTTTTTACAAGCGATTCGCCATCAATCACGCCATCCTGGCTAGTACAACCGGCACTTTGTACCTACCAAATCCTGATAAAAACTTCCGGCTGTACTAGCCAGGATGGCGTGGCCCGACGTGAGCGAGTATAAAATTTTCGTGGACGTCAAACAATAAGGGAAACGACTAGAGTTACGCTTCTGGTATAACTTCCTATTCTGTGTCTGTACTTACCTCATCTGTGCCCAGGTCACAGAATAGGAAGTTATACCAGAAGCGTAACTCTAGTCGTTTCCCTTATTGTTTGACGTCCACGAAAATTCTAACTCGCTCACGTCAGGCCACGCCATCCTGGCTAGTACAGCCGGAAGTTTTTATCAGGATTTGGCATTGAACCATAAATAAACTGGAAGGCTAACTCAGGGGGGGAAATTGAAGCCAGTGCATTTTAGTTTTTCTGAGTTATGAGCAGAAATACTCAACACTGAACGTTGGGCTATATATCAAATTAAAGCTATTGAAAAACTCTATTTGGTGTAGAAGTTTCAAGACTTTAGCTAAAAGGGAAATATTGAAAAACTACAAACATAATTACCGATAATTTGCCGTTTTGCAGTTGTTTTTGTATTTTTTAAAGATTTTTCTTTTCGCTGAAGTCTTGAAATTTCCACACCGAATAGCAATTTTCAATAGCTTCAATTTGATATATAGCCCGACGTTTGGGGTCAAGTATTTCTGCTCATAACTCAGAAAAACTATTTTGGCTTCATCAAATCATAGGCCTTCATCATAGCAGTTAGCCTTCCAGTTTATTTATAGTTCAATGGGATTTGGTAGGTACAAAGTGCCGGTTGTACTAGCCAGGATGGCGTGATTGATGACGAATCGCTTGTAAAAACGCAGACAAATATTTGCTCGAGTTACGCTTCTGGTATAACTTCCTATTCTGTGCCCAGGTCGAACCTCGAACTATCTGCGGAATTGCGTGCGTTGTTCGTTTGGTTTTTCGTTGTTTTGTTTTGTTCTGTTCTGGTTTTTTTTGTTTCGTTTTGTTATAATTGTGTATTGTTATTCTTCGTTCGCTGTTCGATAATTCGTCCGGAAAATCTTGTCAATTAAACTGATAGTTTATCAGATTGAATTTGTTTATCAGACTGAAATCCTTACGATCAGTAATTAGTATCCGACTTTTTGCAACAACTTTCGCCCATTCTCGTCCGGCTTCGTTAACTGCTCTGTAATTTCTGATTCAATATGGCGGCGACAATAGTGAAAGGCGAAAAACCTATGGTTTTCAAGTTCGAAGAAGACGGCGAACATTTCATGATAGGCAGTCAAGTCGGCCGTTCGATGAATCTACTAAAAGGCGCTCTCTACAAACGTTTTCCATCTCTTTGGCGCCGTTGTGTGACGAGCGAAGAAAGACAACTCTTGAATACCATTGGCATTTCTTATAACAATCTTTCAAATACAAACATCATGCTAGTAAAAGAAAAAGAAATAGATGATATTTTGAAAGGAAATGCACACGCCTATTCGCCATGTTCAAGCCCCAAACGGTCCCCCGGTCGACCGCAGACGCAGAGAGCGACATTTTACAAACCTACTGTATCAAGTTTGTTGTCTCAGCCAAGCGTTTCTCCCTCAGCAGATCATTCGTCGGCGATTCATCTTACAGCCGTTGGGAGTTTAACTACTTCGTTAAACCCGAAGGGAAATACTGTCGAAAGGAAACTTCGAAGAATTAAAATAATGCCTATTTTAAGGTACGTTTTATGTTGGGAAAAAAATCAGCAAAAATATATAAAAAAAGTCAATGTTCTTGACAGTGTTTGCAGTAGGTGGAACTCTACTATCGTACAGCAGAGCATCTGCAGATGGTCAACCTGCAGTTATCAGAATGAGAAAATAATGTCGATTCTTTCATTATGTGACATAGGCTTGTATCTGTGATTCTGTGGTCAAATAAAAATTACTAAATGTACAAATGGCTATTAAGGCTTTGGCAGTATAATATATTTAACCCTTTAGATGGTGACTTCAGAAACGTTGATACTTTAGTTTTATAATTATATTTCTTGCCACAAAATATTAAATATTATAAAAAATTTTTTGTCACTTTCATTCACTATGAGAACTGCCAGTGACCCCACGTGGTAAATCACAACCCCACGCGTGGTAAAAACTCGCGTGCCGGACGCGCATAAACAAAACCCCACGCGTGTTCGATTCTTTCAAAAAAACTAAATTCAAAATGTCGATTCGTACTTACGGACAAAAGCCGCAATCTTTTCCTTTGGACGACAGCGGGGAGAAGTATATGATAGGTAGCGAAGTCGGCAACTATGTTCGTATGTTTCGTGGCTCGTTGTATAAAAAATACCCTTCGTTATGGCGTCGTATGGCCAGCTTGGATGAACGAAAGAAAATTGTTTCGCTCGGAATTGGACATACAACTTTAGCTACGAACGTTACTTTAGTAAAGTTGTCAGAGGTCGAACACATTCTTGAAGGCAACGATGAGAAATATAAAATGTTGACCGATGTAGCAGAAGCTGCACGAGATAAGAACGCGGCTGGTAAACCAAAACGAAGCACCACGAGCTGGTTACCTCAAAATCTATTACCCAGTACTTCGTACCATTTGGACGCGGTGCCCTGTTGTACACCCGTGAGTCGGACCCGGCTAGGTCCCAAGAGAATTAAGTCATTCCCTACATGGTATGCCTGATTTGATCTAATTTTGTTATAAAAGTAGCAAAATTCTATAATTTATGTTCTAATTGTTTTGTCCATGCGTTCTAATTGAATATTTGAATTTACCCATGATTGTTTACCGAGGTGCATAGGGTACTTTGTTCTAAGCTAGAAAATGAAACTAAATCTCGGTTAGCACTATTTTCCATCCAGCAAACTGACCTGACGTCATTTTCGGAAGATGGAAGAGGTGTTAAATGACGATGTAACAAACCCTACCCCTACTCTAACCCTAACCGAATTAATAAAAAAATCCCAAAAGAAACGACTTTACAAAATCGATAGGGCGGTTTGCTGGATGGAAAAAAGTGCTAACCCTAAATCTCTGAGATCGTTTATTTGACACCAAATACAAGATTACTACATATAATGAAAAGAATTGACATTATTTTCTCATTCTGATAACTGCAGGTTAACCACCATCTGCTGCACGATTACAGTACAGCTTTAATAATATTGTACCGTTGTAGTTCTATTAAAGATGCGGTACAGTCCGTATGTAAACAAAGGCTTTGTTTACATTTCGGTATCCAAAATATTGAATTTTATTCGACAACTATTTATATTCTCATGATTCTAGAGCATAATAAATTATCAAGACACAACAATCAAGCTTTGCAAGAACATAAAATGAAATAAAAACCTAAATAAACTGTTTGTATAATAAAAAGAGGGCTCCTTTGTGCACATGCGCAGATCGGACTGTACAGCATCTTTAACCATCGTAGTTAAACCTATAAATGTTATCATATACTGGGTAATACAAAACTGTACCATATCACTAGTAGATGCAAACCAATCTTTAATAATTTTACCCCAAATAAAAATATTGATTTATCTAATGTTTTGCAGTTATGATAACCATGACATGGCCGCAATTCACGAGGCTGCTAACAAGGAGGAGGACTTGGTACCAATCAGATTAGACATTGATATTGAAGGACAAAAACTTAGAGACTGTTTCACATGGAATAAAAATGGCAAGTCTGAACTTTTTTGCCATTTGCATTTACCATCAACAATCTGTTTCACATACCTTTCATATTTGTGACTGCGTTCAATATCTGTCATGGGAAGATGAACAATTAACTATTAAACTGCTTCTGAGTGCTTCCAGTTTGACTCTACCAAACACCGCAGTAAGGTTGTCACTGGGTACTCTGGCTTTCCCCATAGTAATACTGGAAAATTAAGGATGGTCATAACTGGAAGAACTAAGAGCTGGAGTTTTGGCCTATAATAGCTGAATCCATCGATGAAAAAGTAAATACTTGCATTGATACTGCATAGGATTGCCACAAACATAGTACGAAATGTTCATGTGAAGTGTTAAAAAATCAAAAACAAAGATAGTGCTTCCACTTTGAAATTTCCATTAAATTTCAAATTTTCACAAATTTGCCGGAGCTGGAAATTTTATGCCGTAGCCGGAGTTTTTTTTTCCCGTAGCCGGAGTTTTTTTCCCGGAGCCGGAGTTTTTTGGCCGGAGCCAGAGGTGAAAAACCCGCAGTTTGCACAGCACTAGGAAGAACAGTTTACAACTGATATCCCGTCATTTTCTTTTCAATATAGAAACATTGATCAGCCCCGAAACGTTTGCTGAAGTCCTGTGTGATGACTTAGATCTATCCCCCATGCAGTTCGTACCAGCAATTGCGCAAGCAATCAGGAATCAAGTTAAGCAATACACGACTGAATCTGAAATTGTACTTGATAAACAGACTGATCAAAGAGTTATAATAAAGGTATTAAATATTGGTGGTTTTTAGATGATGGCAAACTTCAAAAACATTAACACGGTATAGAATCAAATTAAACTTATTCATTTGCCACCAAATACAAGACTACCACCACATATTAAAATTGGGAAAATGATGTTTATTCTTTTCACAGCTAAACGTGCATGTTGGCAATATATCACTGGTAGATCAAATCGAGTGGGACCTTTCAGATACACAGAATAGCCCAGAACAGTTTGCTCTTAGCCTTTGCTCAGATCTTGGGCTGGGTGGAGAATTTGTATCAGCGATAGCGTACCATATCCGCGGTCAGCTGAGCTGGTATAACAAGACCTATGCATTCAGTGAAACACCACTCCCTACAGTCGAAGCAGCAGTACGGAATCCGCAAGATGTGGATAATTGGTGTCCGTATTTGGAAACACTCACTGATGCCGAGATGGAAAAGAAACTGAGAGATCAGGACAGAAATACAAGGTAAGTACTGCTGTACTAAACTAACTTTATTTACACTGGATATCTCTGTCACTGTCTAAACTCTTCTCCCTAGTGATCTAACAAGAGAAGGGATGTATCCAGCATGATCTGGTAGGGGGGGGGGGGGGGGGGGG